GCTGTCTGTCAGGAGCGCTATACTGCATCATTACACAAACAGACTAACATTACCCTGAAGAGGACAGTTTTCCATTGTTTATCATTATAGGCATAGTCTCTGAACTTTTGATCACCCCTTGTATGTTTAGATAGCACGAATAATGTACCTTGTAATTTACATTTAGAAAAGCGAGCACAGCGCACCTGTGCATATAACAGACTGTCATCGGACTCCTCTTCTTTAGTAATTTCATCATCCGATCCTTCATCTCTGGATGTGAAATAATCCATTATAACATATTTTAGGACACTGACATCACTAAGATTGAGAAGATGGAGACAAGCAAGATCATCTAAATGAGCAGCTTCAGACTGCGTTGATTTCTTGCGCTCTGCCATCTCATGATATTAAAAAATAAATTAATAAAATAAACTTTGCGTGCCGTAGTTTACGCAGGTGTAATGACATATCATTTATTCATTATTAATTTGTAATTATAGGGAATTAATGATGATTACTACATTCAGGTTTTGCTAGGACTCAGATCTGAATGTCCCAAGTCCACCTGATTAAACTGATTTCATATTTGTTAGTTTGCAGCACTTTAAATCCAGGGTCGTCTTTTAACAAATTAAATATGTGTTTTCCTGGCCATGGTCAACACAATTATGATTATTTGTAAGCTCTTAACAGAGGTAATTATTATAAGTAAGCTACGAGCTAAGTAGCAAGGGATCTTTTAGCACAGTTTTAACCTTGAAATTATATGACCCCAGACGCTCCTTCTTTATAAATGAAACATGAATTTTATTGGCTAATCTAGATTACATAAAAACCTAACTAAAACATACACATACACACAAAGATTCAAGGAAATGAGTCAACAGGTCTTCTGAATTGTCTGTGTACATTCTGTTTCTTTGGAATGCAAAGGAAATAAGGGTTTTGGTCATGCGGGAAGCTGGTGGTCGAAAATCACGCTGTATAAACCTCGTGTTCATGGGCCTAAGGGCATCAGTTAATTTACTCATCCTTTTCCTGCTGGATATACTAGTTCTATACATTCGCGATCATGAGGTATCCATATGTCATGAAAGGGCTTTTTAGTCCTGATACCAAAGATAGCTTTGTTGTCTCCTGATCGAATTAGTTTCGATCTCATGAGTAGATGATTTCACCATACTGACAGGACATAGACCCAGAATATGGGACTCATGTGCTGGGTGATTTAGCAAATCTCGTGATGGCTGATATCAGTGTCCGTTCATAGTTAGAAATCCCTACATATATCCCCCTTTTGCGCGGTGAGGTTCCCATTGCGAACGTCGGCGGGCACTGGAACAAGAGGCAGAGAGAACAGACACACACAAGACACAAACAACATCTCCATCACTGACTG